TTTTGTATGCTTAGGGGCCATGATGGACAAAATAACATGAGACTAAATCAAACACAAGAGAAAATGATGCAACCATGAGACATAATAAACACACAATGCGTGAAGCTGCTGCCAGCGTGACACAGCATACTGTTAAACATTTTTTAATAAATAGAAAGAGTACACTCTAAAAGAATGATTAAAAGTATGGTATAGTAAATATATAAACCAGTAACATAGTCATTTATCATCGTCAAGTATTAAGTACTGTACATAATTGTACGTGTTATGCTTACATATGACTGGCAGTGCAGCAGATTTGTTTGCACCAGCACCCCACACACACATGAGTGACATGTAGCACTACAATGTTACAATGGTTATGACATCAGTAGGTGATAGAAATTTTCAGCTCCATTATAATTTTATGGGACCACTGCCATATATGTGGTCTGTCACTGACTGAAACATCATTATGCAGCCTATGACTAGAAAGACTTATTTGTAAGACCTGAAGCCATAAAACTCCTAGAAGAAAACATAAGAAAAAACTCCTTGACATTGGTCTTGGCAACGATATTTTGGCTATGACACCAAAAGCATGAGCAACAAAAGCAAACATAAATAAGTGGGACTACATCAAACTAGAAAGCTTCTGCACAGCAAAAGAAGCAACAATCAACAAAATGAAAAGGTAACCTATGGAATGAGAGAAAATATTTGCAAACAAATATCTGATAAGGGGATAATATCCAAAATATAAAAGGAATTCAAACAACTTAATGGCAAAAAAGCAAATAATCTGATTTTAAAATGGGCAAAGGATTTGAACAGACATTTTTCTAAAGAAGACATGCAGATGGCCAACAGGTACATGAAAAGGTGTTCGACATCACTGATCATCAGGGAAATGCAAATCAAACCCACAGTGAGCTATCACTTCACGCCTGTAAGAATGGCTATTATCAAAAAGACAAGCGATGCAGTGACGGATGTTAACTAGATTTATTGTGGTGATCAATTTGCAATATATCAATATATCAAATCATTACATTGTACATCTGAACTCATATAATGTAATATGTCAGTTATACCTCAGTTCAAAAATGAAAAAATAAAAAAGACAAGTGATAAGTGCTGGCGAGGATATGGAGAAAAGGGAACTCTTGTGTCCTGTTGCTGGGAATGTAAGTTGGTGCAGCCACCATGGAAGACAGTATGGAGGTTCCTCAAAAAGTTAAGAGTAAAACTACAACATGACCCAGGAAATCCACTTCTGAGTATGTATCGAAAGGAAATGAAATCACTATCTCAAATAGAGGTATGCACCCCCATGTTCATTGCAGCATTATTTACAATAACCAAGATATGGAAACAACCTAAGTGTCCATTGACAAATGAATGGATAAAGAAAAGGTAATATATATGTGTATACAGTGGAATATTATTCTGCCATAAAAAAGAAGGAAATTCTGTCATTTGTGACAACGTGGATGGACCTTGAGGGCGTTTATGCTAAGTGAAATAAGTCAGACAGAGAAAAACAACTATTGTATGCTCTCACTTATATGTAGAATCTGAAAAAACCAAGAGTAGATTGGTAGTTGCCAGGGCCAAGGGCATGGGGGAAATGGATGAAGGTGATCAAAGGGTACAAACTTCCAGTTATAAAGGGAACAAGTTCTGAGGATCTAATGTATGGCATGGTTAACAATACTATATTGTATACTGGAAAGTTGCTAAGAGAGTAGATCTTAAAATTTCTTACTACAAAAAAGAAAAATGGTAACTGTGTGAGGTGATGGATATGTTCACTATTCTTATTGTGGGAATCATTTTGCAGTGTGTACATATATCAAATTAACACATTTTACACCTTAAACTTACACAATGTCGTATGCCAATTATATCTCAATAAAGCCGGGAAAAAAAATGAAATAAAGTTTCACAAAGACTTTAGACAAGTTTTTGAAGGTTCTAGAGAATTTAACAAATTCTCCCACTAAACTGCTGTCAGAGAAGTAACTGGCCAGAGTCCAATGAGATAATATATGCAAAAACATTTGTGAGTAATAGCATGCTATATAGATACAAGACTCCATTGTTCTTTGTTTTGTCAACAGATATTTTATTCATTTTTACAAATGTTCTCCAGCTTTATTGAGTCATTAACAAATTAAAATTGTATATATTTAAGGTGTACAACATGAAGGTTTGATATAAGTCACCATTGTTACTAGTATCATAGCTTTAAAAGTTCTTCTGGGGGCCGGCTCCGTGGCCGAGTGGTTAAGTTCGCACGCTCCACTGCGGTGGCCCAGGCTTCGGATCCTAGGCGTGGACATGGTACTGCTCGTCAGGCCACGTTGAGGCGGCGTCCCACATCCCACAACTAGAAGGATATGCAACTAAGATATACAACTGTGTACAGGGGGGGTTTGGGGAGATAAAGCAGAAAAAAAAAAAAAAAGATTGGCAACAGTTGTTAGCCCAGGTGCCAATCCTTAAAAAAAAAAAAGGAAGAAAGAAAAGGAAGGTTGGCAACAGTTGTTAGCCCAGGTGCCAATCTTTAAAAAAAAAAAGTTCTTCTGGAATACTGAAATTAAAGATGAAATAGTGACCCCAGGAAAAGACATGTATCCTATATTGTCATCTTTAAATAACAACCACCCCCCCAAATATACTCTCCTACTTAACAAGAAGGAAAAATAGGACAATGAGAAATGCACTCAAATTAAGATGCGGCTAGACTCATTATGTAACCATCTTTCTAAAAACCAGAAGCAAAAATAAACCGTGTTGTTTCTACAGATTATTTAGATGGCCAAGATGTTTATGTTACATCAAAAAGAGCTTTAGGCTTCAAAAAAAATCATAAAATTGTGCTTTTCATTTATTTAGAATTATGAACCTGGCCACTTTGTACTTGGCAAAAAACTATTTAAAGCAAGATTGGAAGTGAGAGGGAGCACTAACCTCCTCCAGCAAAAGAGAAAAATTCTATTAGCAGATTCAGACATTGAGGAAATTATCTCCACACTCTTAACTGTAAACATGATGTTGAGTACACAAGGCCAGGACAGAGCTAGGAGCGGAGTGGGGGAGGGGAAGGGGGAGGACGAAGGGGGGCGGAATGAGATGGCTGTGCGCATGTCAGAAGCACCAGCCACCCTGAAATGAAACGACAGGAGCTGGCCCTGTGGGGAGTGATGGAGGATGGGCATAAAAGCCATGGGATTAACTAGTCTCAAGATGCCACACGGAACTCGCATACAGTTGCTGTTGGCCCCAGAACGGACTCAGTCTTGCAGGTGCTGGGGAGGATTTGATTTGTGCCTGCAAACAACTTCCGCTGACCTTGAGAGGCCGGGAAGTGAATCAGGACTCCAGACGCCAGAGCATACTGATTCCTTTTTAAGAAATTACCATCCGTCACGAAATTAATCAGTTAGAATGGGACCCATCCAAGCGACTTATCACCTAATTTTAAGTGACAAAAGCAGAATACAAAAGATATGACCAGTAATTAGAATTGATTACATCTGAACATGAATATGGACATATCTAGGAGGAAATTTGCAAAATAAAAAGTTATGTTGAGGCCATAGAATAAACCTTTTCTTTGACTTCATTGTAATGTTATTTTCGCCATTTCAAAAGCGATTACAAGGAAACGTCAAAAGACAAATGATAATCTGTGAGAAAATATTTACAATTTACATCACAAAGAACCAGTACATAAAAAGCTCTTAAATTTTGAGGGAAATAAAATCCCTATAAAAAAGTTTAAAAAAAACAGTTCTCAGAAAAAGAAAGGCCATTTGCTTGTGAACACGTGAAAAAGATGCTCAACCGCAACTCATAAGAGAAATGTGAATTGAAACAGCATTGAGATATAACTGCTCACATATCAGATTGGCAAAAATCCAAAAGCTTGACAATACATTCGCCTGGTGACGCTGCAGGGAAATTGGCACTGTTACATGTGGCCGGTGGGAGTAAATGACAGACGCGTTTACCGCTAATCTTACTTCTAGGAACCTATCCTGCAGATGGATTAATACTGAACAACAGATGCAGAGGGTTAGTAATTGCAGAATTGTTTGTAATATCAAAAGATTGGAAACAACGCAAATATTCACCGGTAAGGAACTGACGGAATAAACTACCCACACAATAAAGTACATACAGTCACAGAAAAAAATGGTTTCTATGTACTGATGAGTAATTTGAATGGTTTCCAGCACACATTAAGTGAAAAAAATGCTACCGTTTGTGTAGAAAGGAGATAAAATAAGAAAAACTATATACATATATATATTTGTATATTTTTTTAATTTTATTTATATTTCCAGAAATTCTGGAAAGATAAACAGAAATGAATACTAATAGAGTTAGCCCAGGGAGGTAGAGAATGGGGAACGGGAGGGAAGGGAAACAGATGGAAGCAAGACTTTCTCGAATATACCTTTTTATATAGTTTTGGTTTTTGACCCATGTAAATGTCTTAAATGTTCAGGGAATAGATTAAATCAAATCAAAAAAAAAAGGGAAAACAACTCTAAAATTCAGAAGAAACAGAAACAAAGTTAATTCTATACCAAATGAGTACCATACTGACAGAAAGCAAAAATGTATTTCAAGTAACTTTTTAAACACATATTTGGACTACGTATTTTTTTGTGGAATATAGTCTAAAGACTAAAAGAATTACAAAAAAGATCCTTAAAATTCACTTAGTGTTTTTATTGTTGTAATGACATGGTAAGATAGATGTTGTAATTTTGAAGTCCTTTTAGGTATCTACTAGGATTAAGCAAACAAATACATTGATTTTATTTTTTTTTAATTTTCCAGAAGAGAAGAGAGATATAATATAAAATTAATGTTAAGAAAACCTTATAATGTTAAATTTTTTACAATAGCTTTATTGAAATACATTTCACATATCATAAAATTAACAGGTTTAAAGCATAAAATTCAGTAGTTTTTAGTATATTCACAGAACTGTGCAACCATCACCACTATCTAACTGCAGAACATTTTTATCACCCAGAAGGAAACCCCATATGGATTAGCAGTCACTCTCATTCCTTCTACCTCTAGCCCCTGCAACCACTAATCTATTTTCCATCTCCATAGATTTGCCTGTTCTGGACATTTCGTATAAATGAAATCATACAATATATGGTCTTTTGTAACTGGTTGCTTTGACTTATCAAAATGTACCAAAATCTGTACTACTTTCCTGTAGCTGCTGTAACAAACAGCCACAAATTCAGAGGCTTAAAACAACAGAAATTTATTCTCTCACAATTCTCAAGACCAGAAGTCCAAAATCAAAGTATCATTAGGGACACGCTCCCTCCAATCCTTCTAGGGGCCTATCCATTCCTCTCTCTCTTCCAGCTTCTGATGGCTTCAGGCATTCCTTGACTGGTGGCCACATCTCTTCAGTCTCCGCTACCATGGTCACATTGCCTGCCTCTTCTCTCTCTGTCCTCTGCGTGTCTCCTATAAAGACACTTGTCATTGGATTTAGGGCCCACTGGAATAATCCTGGATGATCTCATTTCAAGATCCTAACTCAATTACATATGCAAAGGCCTTTAAACCCTAATAAAGACATTGATTTAGGCAAGGATCATCAATGCATGCTAAAAAGACACCAGATGAAGATGTTTGTGCAACAGGATAGTCACAAGGTACGAATTCTTTTTTCCAAATAAAGTAACATTCACAGCTCCTAGGAATTAGAACATGGACATATCTTTGTGGGGCCTCATCCAACCCACTAGTCTGCCCAAAAATGCACAACCATTCCACATGAAAAATACATTCACCCCATCCCAACAAACCCCAAAGTCTCAACCCATTGCAGCATCAACTCTATGTCCAAAATCTCATCTAAAGGTCATTACCTCAAAAGTTCCAAATCTTATCATCTAAATCAGGGACGTGTGAGACTCTTGGTAGGAGCTATCTTGGGGCAAAATTCTTCTCCAACTGTAGACCTGTGAAAGGAGAAAACAAGTTATCTGCTTCCAAAAAACAAGGCTGGGACAGGCATAGGATAATAGTTATATTCTCATTCCAAAAAGGAGAAAATGGACAGCATAAAAGGGTCATTGGTTCCCAGCAAGTCTGAAATGCAGCAGGGTAAATTCTGTTAAGTTTCACACCTTACGAGCAACCTCTGTGTCTCACAGCTCCACAGGCCTTAGCAGGCATGGTCCCACTGCCATCTGCCTCTGTGCCTGCGGCTCTGCTCTCTGGGCCCAAGGCTCTGCCCTGGGAGTCATTCTTCCTCTTTCTTGAGGTTAGCACATGTTTGCAGCTGAGTAGCTCCATGAGCCCATTTCCTGCCTGTAGAATGTTGGGTGTCCCACAGCCTTCTTTATTTAGTCCAACCTCTGTCCCTTTCAGTCCAAGCTGGCAACGTTCCCGCTGATAGAACATTCTCAAAACCTTGTGAGTCTCCTGTGTAAGCCATGAATCACCGCCCTGTTAGACAAGAGGGTCCTCCATACACCCTTCCTGCATACCCTACTCTCCATTCCTGACTCCTACTGAGATGGTGGACTGGATCCGAGTCATACGCCTCATCTCTTCAGCAAAAAGTTGTCCAGCCAGTCACATTCTTGCCTTCTTTCCAGAGCATGCTTCCCAGGAATGAATTTCCTAAGTATAGCATCTTTTGCAATCTGGATAGGATGAGAATTTCCCAAATCATAAAGTGCTAGTTCCTTTTTGCTTAACAGTTTCTTCCTCAATTTGTTGCTTTCCTTTCAAATTTTACTGTAAGCAGCAAGAGGAAATCAGATCATACCTCCAACTCTTTGCTTCGAAAGCTGCTCAGCTAAATACTTAAGTTCATCAGTTATAAGTTTTATTTTCCACAAAATTGTGGAACACATTTCAGCCACATTTTCTGCCAGTATGTAACAAAGATCATCTCTTTCCTCCAGTTTCCAGGAGTGTGTTCTTACCTTCTTTTTGAGCCCTTACAAGAAATGTGTTTTGTTTGTTTTTGTTTTTGTTTGTTTGTTTGCTCAGGTTTTTTTGGTGAGGAAGATTTGCCTGAGCTAACATCTGCTGCCAATCTTCTTCTTCTTTTTTTTTTTGTTGCTTGAGGAACATTAGCTCTGAGCTGACATCTGTGCCACTCTTCCTCTATTTTGTATGTGGGATGCCTCCAGAGCCTGGCTGACAAGTGGAGTAGGTCCACGCCTGGGATCCAAACCCATGAGCTCAGGCCGCCAAAGCAGAGCTCACAGAATTCTAAGCACTCAGCCACAGGGCCAGCCCCATAGAAATGTTTGTAATATTCAGATTTCTACCAACATTGTGTTCATAATGATACATGTACTCTCTAAGATTATAGAAGCTTTCTCTGCCATGGTCCTCACTTCTTTCTGAGCCTCCACCAGAAGCACATTTAACGTCGATATTTGTACCAACAGTTTCTTTGAGGCAATCTAGGCTTTTCTATTATGGTTCTCAAAATTCTTTTGACTTCTACCCATTATCCAATTCCAGCCACTTCCACGTTTTTAGGTATTTGTTACATCAGTGCACCACTTCCTGTTGCCAAAATCTATATGGATCAGTACTTCATTTCTTTTTATTGGCAAAGAATATTCCATTATATGAATGGAATGAAAAATATCACTTTTTTTAATCAATTCATCAGTTGATGGACATTAGACTGTTTCCACTTTGGGGCTATTATTCATAATGCCATGAACATTCACATGCAAGGGTTTTTTGTGGATATATGTTTTTTCATTTCTCTTGAAGATATATCTAGGAGTGAAATTACTGTCCTATGGTAACTCTATTTTAATATTTCGAGGACCTGCCAAACTATTTTCCATAGCGGTTACACTATTTTACAATCCCACCAAATATATATGAGGGTTTCAATTTCTCCACATCCTTGTAAACACTTGTCATTGTCTGTCTTTTTTACTTTGGCCATCCTAGTGGGGGTTAAGTGGTATCTCAGTGTAGTTCTGATTTGAATTTCCCTAATGACTGATAATATTGGCCATCCACCTTTCAAAGAGTTTTCAAAAAGATCAAATTGATTGATCCACCAGTCAATGAGGGAAATCTCACTTTTACAGAAGAATGCCAGATAATAAATATAAGAAGAGAGATACAACTAAAAATACACTATTTTCCAAACCCTAATAAAGACATTGACTCAGGCAAGGATCATCAGTGCATGCTAAAAAGACACAAGGTGAAGATGTTTGTGCAACAGGATAGTCACAATGTACGAAAGAGTCACCCTACATATTCCTTGTTAAGGTAATGGGGAAAATACCTTTACAATGGTGAGAGCTGGCGATCATCACCTTAACCAAGTCTTATGGACTGAATGTTTGTGTCCCCTGGAAATTCATATACTGAAGCCATAACCCCTAGTGAGGCTGTATTTGGAGAAGGGGGTCCTCTAGGGAAGAAATTAAGATTAAATGGCATCATAAGAGTGGGGTCCTGATCCAATAGGATTAGCGTCCTTATAAGAAGAGACACAAGAGAGCTTGCTGTCCTCTACACACACACACCAAGGAAAGGCCATGTGAAGACATAGTGAGAAGGCAGCCATCTACAAGCCAGGAAGAGAGCCCTCACCAAGAACCAACCCTGCCAGATCTTGATCATAGATTTCCAGCCTCCAGAACTGTGAGAAAATAAATTTCTGCTGTTTAAGCCTCCAGTCTGTGGTATTTTGTTATAGAAGCCTGAGCAGATTAATCTTCCAAGTAATCAAAGTTAGCATTGCCAAAAGCAAAACAACGTGCTATGATGCAGTATGAAATACGCAGCATGACCTACGAAGAAATTCTTGCAAACAATTTTTAACCCGAATCTGAATAAGCCATTCAACCTAACTACCAGTTTATAGAAAATACAAGTGCATCAGTCAGGGTTCTAGAAGGTAACAGAGGGTATGCTCAAATTACAGTTCAAAATACGGTAGAGGAAGTTACTTTTGCTTCTGGCCAAGATGGAATAACAGAGACCGATTTGCCCTTCTACCTGAAAAAAAAAACAACCACAACAATGGACAAAATGTATGAAATAATAGTTTTCAAGATACTGGACATGCGGCAATGAAAGACAGTAATGCCCAAAAGACAGTATGCCAATGGTGGCTTTATTGCCTCTTGGCTCCAAATTCACCCTGCATTGCCTAACCCACAAAAACAGAGACAGACCCTTTAAACATTTTCCCTTTGCCAGCTGGCACAACGTTAAGTGTTGTTAGTAAGCGGTGCAGGAAAGATATTGCAGGAGGAAGGGGTTTTGCTTCCTGGCTGGGTGTGCTACTGAGCAGACCCCTGAAGCATGTGCAGCTTCCCCAATACTGGGCTCCTGAAGGACAGGCAAGTGTATCTACCAAAAACCTACAGTTAACACTACACTTAATACTAAAGACTAAATCTTTCACCATTCAGTGAAATAGTGAGTAGTGGATGAGGAACACTACAAGGATGTCTGCTCTCACCATGTCCATTCAACATCGTACTGGAGATTCCAGCCTATGAAACAGGGCAAGAAAATTAAAATAAAAATGCTTCCAGATTGGAAAGGTAGAAGTACAACTGTCTTATATTTAGGCAAAAATCATTGTTCCTGTAGAAAATCCAATGAAATCTACAAAAAAGCTATGAGAACTACTAAAATGAGTTTAGCAAGGTTGCAGAATACATGATCAATTTACAAGAATCAACAATATTTACACTAGCAATGAGTAATTGGAAATTGAAATTTAAAAATAATAACATTTAGGGGCCGGCCCAGTGACACAGTGGTTAAGTTGGCACCTTCCACTTCAGCGGCCTGGGGTTTGCTGGTTCAGATCCCGAGTGCAGACCTACACACCACTTGGTAAGCCGTGCTGTGGTAGGCGTCCCACATGTAAAGTGGAGGAAGATGGGCACGGATTTTAGCGCAGGGCCAGTCTTCCTCAGCAAAAAGAGGAGGATTGGCAGCAGAAGTTAGCTCAGGGCTAATCTTCCTCAAAAATAATAATAATATTTAACAATAGCATCAAAAAATATTAGATTTCTAGGGATAAATCTGACAAACAGTTTATCTCTACACTGATAATTACAAACATTGCAGAGAGAAATTCAAGAAGATCTAAATAAATGGAAAGATATATCATGGGTCCAAAGACACCAAAGATGTTGATTCTCCCCAAAATTAATCTCTAGATGCAACGTAATCCCAATCAAAATCCTAGCAGGGTTTTGTGTAGAAATTGACAAACTGAGTCTCAAATTCATATAGAAATGCGAAGGACATGGAGTAGCCAAACAACTTTGAAAAAGAACATACACTATATACTGTGGTGCGCTACCTGATTTCAAGACTACTTAAGACAGTGTGGCTTTGGCACAACGACAAAGAAGGAGATCAATGGAATAGGATAGAGGGTCTGGAAACACGCTCACACTCATACGAACAAGTGATTTTCAACAAAGACATAAAAGTAATTCAGTGGAGAAAGATAGTCTTTTTTTATCAAAATCAAAATTTTTTTTATTGTGGTAACGTTAATTTAGAACATTATACAAATTTCAAGAGTACATCATTGTATTTCGATTTCTGTGTAGATTACATCATGTTCTTCACCCAAAGACTAATTTCAATCCATCCCTACACACATGAGCCTAATCACCCCATTTGCCCTCCTCCCTCCCCCCTTCCCCTCTGGTAACCACCGATCCAATCTCTGTCTCTATGTGTTTGTTTGTAAACATTAAAAAATCTTTAAAGGAATAATTAAGGATAAAAAAGCTGAAAACCACAAATTTTATGTTATGTATATTTTACCACAAATAATTTTTTAATTGAAATGAGTAGATGGATATAAAGCAAGGATGACAAAATCGTAACAATTATTGAAGATAGTTGGTGAATATACGAGTACTTATTACACTCTTTCAACCTTTTTCATATTAGAAAATCCCCATAATAAATAAGTTTTGAATTTTTAAGAAAAGCAAAAATATGGTCTATGAGGGAAAAAGAGAGAAGGAGAAAGAATTAAAGCAACAAAGAGAAGGAAAGAGAGAAAGAGAAGAAAAAGAAGAAAATTCCTTGTGTTTGTGACACTAATCATTACAAGACGAAGATGCCTGCTACGTAGATCCCCTTCTGCACACTGGAGAGCAGATGCCCTTCAGCTACACTTGAGGAAGCTGCACAAACATCCAAGAGCATCTCCATGCAGAACCAGGGCAGAAGGCTGTGCAGGTTTTGCCCTGCGCAAGGGTACCACACAGTAGACACTGAGGATTTACACATTTATTATTACAATTTCCCAAAAGACAGAATCTATGAGTTCACAGGCACCCTGTAAATCAGGTTGACATTAAGAGAAAAAGAAATGAGCAAATACTCAGTTCCCAAAGGGTTAAAGCTTGACGTAGAATATGATACAGTCTTGTTTTAGTTAACAAAGCCACTTGGTGCTTAATCATAATAAAAAGAATTTTATATGGAAACATTTGCTATGATTTCATTTTGCTTTTATTCCTATTTTTTTTAAAGAAAATAAAA